CCAGGAGTTGCTACCATGGAAGATGGTAGCAACTTTGAGTTTTTCTCATACCACATCTGTGACTTGAACCCTCTTCTTCTTCTTCTTCTTTTTTTTTTTTTTTTTTTGAAACAGAGTTTTGCTCTTGTTGCCCAGGCTGGAGTGCAATGGCGCGATTTCGGCTCACTGCAGCCTCCACCTCCTGGGTTCAAGCAATTCTCCTGACTCAGCCTCTGGAGTAGCTGGGATTACAGGCACCCACCACCATGCTGAGCTAATTTTTTGTATGTTTAGTAAACACAGCATTTCACCATGCTGGTCAGGCTGGTCTCAAACTCCTGACCTCAGGTGATATGCCTGCCTCGGCCTCCCAAAGTGCTAGGATTATAGGCGTGAGACACCATGCCCACCCACCTCAACCCTCTTCTTAATGCCGCCCCAGAAACTCTCTCTCTGTCATAGATCAGCTACTCCCAAAGGCAAGTATGACTCCTCCCAGCTTTGCCCTTCCTCAACCTGACAGCTGTAGCACAATGTATTCAAAGGAGAGGCCAAGAAACCCCCCCGGTTAAGAACCAACCTCCGCAACCTTTATTGAGGATGAAGAACGATGAGCTGATTTGAATTATTATGTCTTCCTACAGCTGTTCCCTTTTAAATATTTATCCTGGCAAATACACCACCGTTTTTTACAACTTATTTTAATTGTGTGACTATTAAGCAAACCAACCCATAAAATCAGCTCTTGCTGCTGGGATTTATGTGATTCATAGACCACAGCTGATTAAAAAAGGGAATCCACTGAAAACGGATTAGTCTCACGAGTGCCCCTCACTGTCTCTAGGAAGGTGTCAAGCCTTTTCCCGATTCCAGCCTGTGGCTCCCAAGCTAATGTCAGTCCTCCAACTTTGTTCTCCTCCTCCAATATTGTGTTGGCTATTCTGGATCTTTTGCTTTTTCACATAAATTTTAGAATCAGTTTCTTAAGCCAATATCCACAAACAAACTTGCTGGAATTTTTATTGGGATTGCATTGAATATATAGATCACATTGGAAATAACTGACACAAACATGCAGTTTTATATTTTCTAGTTGCCACATTTTCAAAAAGTAAAAATAAACAGGTAAGATGAACTTTAATATTTTATTTAACACAACATATCCAAAAAATCATTTCAATAAATAATTAACATACATATAGGATAGTCATGAATCTTTTAACAACAGAATATGTTCTGAAAAATGCATCATAAAGTGATTTTGTGATGGGAATATCATAGAGTATACTTAGAAAACCTAGCTGGTATGGCCTACTATATACCTAAGCTATATGGTATAGCCTGTCACTTCTAGGCTATAAACCTGTACGGCATGCTACTATACTGAACACTGGAGGTGACTGTAACACAATGGTAAGTATTTGTGTCTCTAAACATAGACAAAGTACAGCACACACACAAAAGGTATAAAAGAAAATGGTACACTGTATAGCCTACTTATCATGAATGGAGCTTACAGGACTGGAAGTTGCTCAGGGTGGGTCAGTGAGTGAACGGGGTGTGAATGTGAAGGCCTAACACATTACTCTACACTACTATAGACTTTATAAACTGTACACTTAGGCAACACTAAATTTACTTTAAAAATTTCTTCTTTCTTCAATAATAAATTAATCCTAGCTTACTGTTAATTTTTTTTACTTTATAAGATTTTTAATTTTTTTTTCCTAATTGAGATAGTCTCACTCTGTTGCCCAGGCTAGAGTGCAGTGGTGCAATCTCAGCTCACTGCAACCTCTGCCTCCCAAGTTCAAGAGATTCTCCTGCTTCAGCCTCCCGAGTAGCTGGGATTACAGGCACATGCCACCACACCCAGGTAATTTTTGTATTGTTAGTAGAGATGGGGTTTCGCCATGTTGGCCAGGCTGGTCTCAGACTCCTGACCTCAGGTGATCCACCCACCTCAGCCTCCCAAAGTGCTGGGATTACAGGAGTGACCCACCACGCCAGGCCCTGTTTGTGTTTTAAGCTAAGTGTTATTACACAAGAACGAAGTTTTATAAAACTAAAAAGCTTGGCTGGGCATGGTGGCTCACACCTGTAATCCCAACACTTTGGGAGGCCAACACAGGCAGATAACCTGAGGTCAAGAGTTCAAGACAAGCCTGGCCAACATGGTGAAACCCTGTCTCTACTAAAAATATTTTTAAATTAGCTGGGTGTGGTGGCAGGTGCCTATCATCCCAGCTGCTTGAGAGGCTGTGTGAGAGAATCGTTTTAACCTGGGAGGCAGAGGATGCAGTGAGCCAAGATCATGCCATTGCACTCCAGCCTGGGTGACAAAAGCAAAACTCTGTCTCAAACACACACACACACACACACACACACACACACACACAGCACTGTCGTATAACAATTTTTTTTCTTTTTTTTAATCAATTTTTTTCTTTCTTATAAATATGTTGCCCAGGCTGATTTTGAACTCCTCCTGCCTGCCTCAGCCTCCCAAAGTGCTATGATTACAGATGTGAGCCACTGTGCCCAGCCAGTATTTTTCCCTTTATATTTTTATTCTATACGTTTTTCCTATTTTAAAAAAGTTAATTTTTTTTTTGCTTTTAAAACTTTTTTGTTAACAAGACACAAACACACACATTAGCCTAGTAAGACTTCACAGGGTCAAGATCATCGGTATCACCATCCTCCACCTCTGTCTATATCTTGAGCCACTGGAAGGCCTTCAGGGGCACTAACACGCATGGAGCTGTCATCTCCTATGATAACCATGCCTTCTTCTGGAATACTTCCTAAAGGACCTACCTGAGGCTATTTTACAGTTACCTTTTTTTTTTTTTTAATAAGTAGAAGCAGTTGACTTTTTTTTAATAAGTAGGAGTATACTCTAAAATAACAATAAGGCTGGGCACAGTGGCTCATGCCTGTCATCCCAGCACTTTGGGAGGCTGAGTTAAGGGGGATTAACTTGAGGTCAGGAGTTCGAGACCAGCCTGGGCAACAACATGGTGAAACACCATCTCTACTAAAAATACAAAAATTAGCCGGACATGGTGGCAGGCACCTGTAATTCCAGCAACTCAGGAGGCTGAGGGGGGAGAATTGCTTGAACTTAAGAGGCAGAGGTTGCAGTGAGCCGAGATCCTGCCATTGCACTCCAGCCTGGGTGACAAGAGTAAAACTCTCTCTCAAAAAAAAAAAAAAAATTAGCCAGTCCTGGTGGAGGGCACCTGTAATCCCAGTTACTCGGGAGGCTGAGGCAGGAGGATTGCTTGATCCCTGGAGGTGGAGATTGCAGTGAACTGAAATCATGCTATTTCACTTCAGCCTGGGCGACAGACAAAGACTCTTGTCTCAAAAAATTAATTAATTAATTAAATTTAATGACAATAAAAAGTATAGTAAATATAATAAACCAGCAACATAGTCCTTTACTATCAAGTATTATGTACTGTACATAATTGTGTGTGCTATGCTTTTATACAACTGGCAATGCAGTAGGTTCGTTTCCACCAGCATCACCACAAACACATGAGTAATGTGCTGTCACTACATGATAGAGATTTTTCAACTCCATGATAACCTTAGGGGACCACTCTCAAATATTTGGTCCATTGTTGGCCTACATGTCCTTATGTGGTGCATATTATTATTATTTTAATTATTATCCTTTAATTTCTGAGATACATGTGCAGAATGTGCAGGTGGTGCATATTATTGAGATACTTTACTTTTTTTAGTATGAATTTTTTTGGTGTGTATTTTTTTCACTTACAGTACATTTCAATTCCATGCAACATTCAAATGCTCAATGGCTACGTGTGGCTAGTGATTACAGCACTAGAAAAAGACAGGTACAGTCAAGACACTTAAGAAAAAATGCAGCAAATGCAGTTGTAGAGATGTGCTCAAGATCACTCAATTATCATAGCTAGGACGGGAGTCTCCTGTGACCTTCTAATTACAAACCCCTTGTTCATTCTGCTGCACATTAAAGACAGGCTTTACTCCCCTCCAAACAGTAGAATCGCAGTTAGTCAACCAAACTAAATGTATCCAAAACAAAATTCATTCTTCTACCTCAATACCTCCTCTTCCTCTCTCATTTTCCATTTCAGTTGACGGCACCATTATCTTTCTACTCACTCAAATTATTCTTATTTTATCTATAAATGAGCACTTTATCTAGAATATCATTTAAATTCTAAATTATCTTCATAAACTTACTTATCTCCACCCTAACTAGCTGAATTTCATCTCTCACATGGGTCACATTCCGATTTGTTCCCTTGCCTTAGTCTCTCCCCACCCAACTTCAACAGTATTCCCTAAGACTCTTCATGGCTCTCCATCCTCTACAGAGTAAAGACCAAACTTCATCTCACAGCACAGAATTCTCTCGGGAATCTGTTCCTTGCTTACCTAACAAGGCCCAATTGTTTGCTGTTTCTAGACTCTGAAGAGGTCACTTACCCTCAGGCTGCTACTCTTGTAAAAATCGCCATCCCCAACTCTCGTGGAGCTGGCTTGGGATTTGAGATAATACACTATGAACGATATACAATCAAGGAGTTACTCCTCCATCACTCGTTTACATTTTATATCTACTAGCTATTTAGTGCCTCATTTCAATTCCATGAAAGTTACTGAATACTAACTAGGCTATCTGCGAGACACAGAGAAAATACAGAAAAAATAAAAAAAGACTGACGCGATCTTTGCCTTCCCCAACCTCATTACAATATAGTTTATCCACCAAAAATCTTTTAAAACTAGCTCCTCTCTAACAGTATGAGAAAATCAAGGGGAGCCTCGGAAGTTCAGGCCAGGCTGCGTCCCGAGGAGCCACCACCATGTCCCCTCAACCTCCGCTTCCCGGGCCGCGATTGCAGGTGGAAAACTACTCCCAAACAGCACCCAGCAGAAAGCGACTACGACCCACGTGGCAGGCGGGGGCGGGGACAGGTCGCGTGGCTGCGGCCTTGGCTCTTGCGCCTGCGCGATGCATCCAGCTCAAGGACCCGTATTTAAAGATACAGGCGCTCCAACCGTCGTGGGCTGCCCGCGGCCTGTGGGGAGCTAGTTCCGAGTCCTGAAGTGAGCGCCGGAGCTGGAGAAGCAGGTGAGGGGCGGCGCGGCGCGGCCCGGCGCGGGGAAGGCAGTGGGCCGGGGCGGGGAGCTCGGCGCGGCCTGGGAGCCAGCCCCCCGGCTCCTCCCCCGCCCGCCTGCGGAGCCCCGGGGCACACCCTCCGTGACGTGGCTGCCCCCCGGGAGCCGAAGGGGAGGCTCGCGGCTCCCCGGGACCCCCACGGGGCCGCACAAGGCTGAGAGGCCGGCGTCCAGGCTGTGCGCCTGGCAGGACCCACGGGGTCTTTTCGGACCCCGGCCAGGCGTGCGTCCTCCCGCGCCGAAGCGGCCGCGCTCGGTTGGGAGTCTGGGAGCCTTGATCACTTCCCGTCCGCATGCCGGGCCCGGTGGAGGAGCGCTCCTTTCTGCCTTCCCCAGGGGTCGCGGCCTAAGCCCCCTCCCCGCAGTCCCCGCCACTTCCCGGCAGCGGCGCGGGGAGGCCTTGGAGAAAAGCGGCGGCGGCCAGGCCTCAGCAGTTTCCTTCTCGGGCCCCTGGGCTGCGGCGGCTGTGAGGGTTCCTGTGGGAGGGACAGACGGTTTCCTCAAAGCTGCATTGTGCCTCCTCGTGGCCCAGCGCATCCCGAGCCTCCCTCAAATATGCTGGTTTCATTAGAAGGTTGCTCTGTAAATCGATCTTCTAGGAAAAGTGTTGAAACTCACTTGTTCTGACCTCCTTTTATGCGTCTGCCTTACTTCCACTTACCTCACCTCTGTGGTTGTTAAACTTTGGGCGTTATGTAGCCCTTTGTGAATGTCACGAAAGTGATGGACCTTCTCCAAAAAAACGTGCATTTTCGAATGTACATTTTGTATACGTTTTTAGGGAGTTGAGAACCGACTTCCACCAAAACCAGGGCATTTATGGATTCATTGTAATTTTCCCAACTATCCTGTGAGGTAGGTATTATTTACCTTGTCTTAGAAATAAGAAAACAGATCCAGATAAATTAAGAGTTTTCTCCGAGGTAACAGTCCGTAATACACGGTCAGACTTGCACTCCCATCCCTTATTCCGGGTCCACCTGCTTTCCTCCGCACCAAGTTGCACTACAGTAAGCAAAGCCTGCTTTTTATTATAATATGATAGCAATTTTGCTTCACAGCGTGTGGAGACTGAACATAATCCCAGTATACTTAAAACTAGGAATATAAAATGGTTTAGAAAACATGAATCTAAGAAGATGCTGATATAATCTTTTTCCTTTTTGGATTGATTTACGAGTTCCTATGAGTCCTGCTGTCCAGTTACTTCAGCATTCCCTCATTCAAGTTGCTGAATCATAAACAGGTTAATTGCACATCGGGATCCTCTTCTTGAAAGATAAAGACTTCACTAATCATAATAGGAGCTAACATTAATCAGTGAGAGCTCTTGCTGTGTGCCCAACTCTGTTTTAATGGCTTTACTCTTAGAACAGCTCTTTGAGTTAGGTACCATAATTAGCCATATTTGACGGACGAGGAAACTCAGAAACAGGTAAGTAACCCATCAAGGTTATACAGCTAGTAAGTGACTGAGCTAGGATTTGAACTCAGGCAGTCTGATTCCAGGCTTAGTTGTCTCTCAATATAGGGATTGTAATTAAATCACAAATCTATATAGTGGCTTGATTTCTGAGGATGGCATATATGTTAAACTTCACAATAAAAGCTTCATGTACATAATGTAATTTTTACTGGGGATTAAAAAGAAACTTCGGGATCTTGTAATACTTAAAGGTCATCATCCATTATGAGTATCATATGTTGCTGGTGGCCTAAAAAGAGCTTTTATGTTATTTGGATTTTCTTCATTGTGATGTACTAGATGTACATGTGTGCATTAGATAATTGAACAACCTTTTGCAAGCTGGCTTTTCCTGTATCAGAATTCTGTTTCATGCTGTAGAGTAGACATGAATGTAATATTGGGAAGTGTTTGATTAGTCAGCATGGACTATATAAGATGCTGGCCTTTGGGAAATTCGAAGCCTATGTCCTTGTTTATCTCTCTCTTTTTTTTTTTTTTTTTTTTTTTTTTGGCTTTCTACCCTTTCATGCAGCTGTATGTCTTTGGCTTTCAAGATTCTCTTTCCACAAACCATCCGTGCTCTCAGCCAAAAAGAACTGTGCCTATTCCGAGGACATCACTGGCCTGATGTAAGACAATTCAGCCAGTGGTCAGAAACAGATCTGCTTCATGGACAGCGCCTCTTCCTGAGAAGAAAGCCTGTTCTGACATTCCAGGGAAGCCATCTAAGATCACGTGCCACCTACCTTGTTTTCTTGCCAGGGTTGCATGTGGGACTCTGCAGTGGCCCCTGTGAGATGGCTGAGCAACGGTTCTGTGTGGACTATGCCAAGCGTGGCACAGCTGGCTGCAAAAAATGCAAGGAAAAGATTGTGAAGGGCGTATGCCGAATTGGCAAAGTGGTACCAAATCCCTTCTCAGAGTCTGGGGGTGATATGAAAGAGTGGTACCACATTAAATGCATGTTTGAGAAACTAGAGCGGGCCCGGGCCACCACAAAAAAAATCGAGGACCTCACAGAGCTGGAAGGCTGGGAGGAGCTGGAAGATAATGAGAAGGAACAGATAACCCAGCACATTGCAGGTAGGGTAGATAACACTGCTTTCTCATCTTAATGGTGCTGAGAGAAAAAGGGATAAGAAGTTCAAATGCTTTCTTTCTCTTTTTTTTAACTTTGTTTTTTTTAGAGATGGGGTCTCACTCTGTTGCCCAGGCTACTGTGCAATGTCACAGTCATAGCTCATTGCAGCCTCACACTACAGGACTCAAGTCATCCTGACTCAGCCTCCCAAGTAGTTGGGATTACAGGCACAAGACACCATGCCCTGCCTTTAACACTTTATTTGGAAATTATTTTAAACTCACTGAAGTATGAGATTAAAAATAGTACAAAGAATACTCGTATTTCTTTTACCCATATTTACCTATTAGCATTGTACTCTCTTTGCTTTATCATATTTGTTCATGTGCATGCTCGCTCTCTCTCCACAAACACACACACACACACACACACACACACACACACACACGCCTGCATGCGTGCACTCACTTAAAACCATTTGAGAGTAAGTTGCATACATCATGGCCCTTTAAAAGTCTTCAGCGTATATACCTTGAGAATAGGATATATGTCCATTATTCGACCATAATACAGCTGTCATCTTCAGAAAATTTGTCCTTGATATAATACTTTAATCTACCATCTGTATACTATTTTGTCAGTAGATTGAATCATACCTTCAATAGCTTTCCCTGCAGTATAGGATCCCAGTTTAGGATCATATCGGCTGTTGCATTTAGCTGTCATGTTTCTTAGGCCTCCTTTAATCTGAAACACTTCCATAGTCTCTCTCTTATGACATTGATATTTGGGAAGAATAGTGTACCCATTACTATCCTCTTTTACTATTTTCCCTGTAGCATATAATTCATTACTGTACTTAATTGATACTTAATTGTCTCATATTTGGCCAGTTAGGAACCCCTTTACATTGTCCTATGTGTCCTGTGTACCATCATTACTTTTTTTTAAATTACGTACTTCTTTACTCTTGGGCATAGCAAGATGCTGTTACTCTTATCCTGTATGTATCCTTGCCCAGCCCTGAGATTTGCAATTTCTCTGGGGAGTCCAGATTCCTGTTAGTGGGAAACGGTATTAAAGAATAAAATCTGGATGCTGTGTGTCCACATTGTCATGGGGTATCTGTTTCTTTCTTTCTTTCTTTTTTTGAGACAGAGTCTCACTCTGTGGCCCAGGCTAGAGTGTAGTGCCACGATCTCAGCTCACTGCAACCTCTGCCTTCCAGGTTCAAGCAGTTCTCTTGCCTCGGCCTCCCAAGTAGCTGGGACTACCAGCGTGTGCCACCTCACCCGGCTAATTTTGTGTTTTTAGTAGAGATGGGATTTCACCATGTTGATCCAGCTGGTCTCAAACTCCTGACCTCAAGTGATCTGCCTGCCTTGGCCTCCCAAAGTGCGGGGATTATAGGCATGAGCCACTGTGCCCAGCCATGGGGTGACTGTTTCTAAGCCCTTTCAGCAGACAGAGCTAGAAAATACATGCATGTATATGCATGTAAAATTCATACCTATATATGGATATATAAAACATGTTTGCATATACATGCATATTTACCTATGCATATTTTAGAAATTTTATGCTAATACCTCCAAATCCAGTTAGTCCTCTTTGACCTTTAGTGTCTGTAAAATAATATTCATACCTTCAACTTAATTCTGGTCACTGTAGGAAGACTCTTAACAATGGCTCTAAAAATGGGTATCTATCCTTGTTCTTTGAAAGGAAAAAAGGCTTCCTGGAAAGAAAACTCTATTTCTCATATACTTTATTCTCAGACTCCCCGTCCCACCTTGCACCTGCCTTAGCTATTTGCCTCAGCCTTTGTTACTTCTTGATCCATCTCATTTGGAAGAAGAGAAATATAGGTAGAGTTCATGACTAGATAACTAAGCAGCTGGAAATTTTCTTTCCTATGCTAGATTGACATGCTCTGTTATCCTCATTTACTCTTTGTTCATCTCTAAATTGAAGCTAATTCTGTGGAGTTGGAGTTCCCCAAGTTTTATCCATCAAAATGTGATTTCTGATTTCTCCCAAATTGTTATTTCTGGAGATTATCATTTATGGGATAAGAGGTGGAGAATGGTGATGAAAATTTAAGTTACTAATAGAGGTAAATGGTAACTGGATCTTTTGTCTCCAGAATATCCTTCCCTCCTCTCCCCTCATTACCCTATTACCTACTACCCCCACTCAGAAACTACCAGCCACCAGCCAGCCGTGGGCTAGTGGTAGGGTAGTAACTTAACAAGCAAGGCTCTAAGAGCAGCTGATAGATTCTTTGGACATTTTTGCAGAGATCTTTCACTGAAAGATATTTTATCTTCTTTTGGGATCCTACAGATCTGTCTTCTAAGGCAGCAAGTACACCAAAGAAGAAAGCTGTTGTCCAGGCTAAGTTGACAACCACTGGCCAAGTGACATCTCCAGTGAAAGGCAGCTCATTTGTCACCAGTACTAATCCCCGGAAATTTTCTGGCTTTTCAGGTAAGATAGGTTAGGACTACGTTAGCTGTTATAGTGCTGCTTTTATTTTGTATTCTACTTAGGATTCTGGCTAAGAGTGAAAAATCTGTGCTATCTCATCTCATTAATAATTTGCTTCTGGGCCAGGCGCGGTGGCTCACGCCTATAATCCCAGCACTTTGGGAGGCTGAGGCGGGTGGATCACGAGGTCAACATGGTGAAACCCCGTCTCTACTAAAAATACAAAACATTAGCTGGGCATGGTGGCGCGTGCCTGTAATCCCAGCTACTGAGGAGGTTGAGGCAGGAGAATTG